GAGGAAAGAGAAAGGAAGGAAAGAGGAAAGAAGAAAAGAGGAAAGAAAGGAGAAAGAGAGGAAAGAGAAAGTTAGAGGAAAGAGAAAGAGGAAAGAGAAAGAGAGAGAGGAAAGAGAAAGAGGGGGAGAGGAAAGAGAAAGAGAGAGAGGGGAGAGGAAAGGGAAAGGAAAGAGAGAGAGAGAGAGAAAGAGGAAAGAGGCATAAAATAATTCATTTGCATTTAATTGTAATGGTTCAAAGAATGTTCGGAAAAATGTTCGGCCCTCCAGCACGTTCACTTCATCCAATCTGGCCCTCTTTGAAAAAAGTTTGGACACCCCTGTTTTAGGATCAACATATATAAGTGAGTATCATCTGCATACTGATGATAGCAGACCCTGAACTGATGGATGACCTCACCCTGTGGTTTCATATAAATCTTGCATAGGAAATGATACCTCCCTCCTTCAACAGTAATTGAAACTGAAAAACAGAGAAAGGAGAACTACAATAACACAGAACTGCCCACTCCCAATTGCTGCAGACTGTCCAGAAGGATTCTGTGACCGATGGTATCAAAAACTGTTAAGAAATCAAAGAGTATAAAGATGGATGCATCCCATTTCTGCTAAAGGTCACTGACAGCATAATCAATTCTAATTCAGTAATCTAACTTAGCCTGAAGCTTGACTAAATTGGGTCCAGATAATCTGGAGCTACTGCTCAACCACCTTCTCAACCACCTTCCATAACAAAAACCTATGCTCTCCTTGGAACCCAGCAGCTCCATAAATTATCTCTGATAGGCCATTCTAATAGACCTTTTCTCCTTTACAAGGTGGGGTGACACCAGTTAACAAAAAGGCAATCATAGTGTGATCTGACTATAGCAACAGAGCGAGGATAATATTTTTAACTATCAGATTATTTTGCAACTCTCCTAAGGTAAAATGTGACCTTCAGTCACCTCGGACAAGTCCCTGTTTGCCATAGAAATCACGAACTCCTGAGCAGCTCCATATTCAACATCATCAGTTGGCAAATTGAACTGTCCAAGCACTAACAATCTCAGGGTCTTCATAACCAGACTGATATTGGAATCCAACAGTTTGGTAGTATTAAGAGCCCAAGTTCAGGGCGACTAAGGATCTAATAATATTGAAGGTTGGTCCACTAGATATAGCATTGCCAGCATCTGGGTCCTTATTTTACCAATCTTGGAAGAATGGAAGGCTGAGTCAACCTTGAGCCCTGTCAAGATCAAATTCCAGGCTCTGGCCAGAGTTTGCCTCAATGCTGCATTTTAACCACTGTGCAACTAGGGCACTATATCAATGGTACTGCCTGCCTTTTCCCTCCAGCCCTAGCTCTCCTCCCTTTGCTCTCTCCTCCCAGACCAAGACATCCTTATTTCTCATTCAGCCCAAACCCCACAATTACATACACTCATAGCATTCAACCATTTGCCCCTCTAACATCACCAGGCTGTTCCTAATGTTGACATTTAACAGCTTGTGCAGTATTAAACTATTTGGACACTACCCTTGTCTCTGTTGGCTTACAGAATTCCTTCTCATTTAGATAGACAAAGATTAAAACCACAGGTAAATATAAATTCCATCCCTCCAAATGCAGGAGACAATGTCCAGTGCCTAGTGTCCAGTACAGGGGGCAATATGCTAGAACTGACAGGATTCCTAAATAACTTGGGAAGGTTCTTGATGGATTAAGCATCCTTCAGCTCAACTATCCTTCTGCCATATGTTTATTCCAACATATATCCTTTATATATTCCCCAATTCTGTATAAAATTATGTTATCTCACAAAACTGGTGTCATATTTCTTAGATAATAGCCTATTAGATTGGACTCAGATATTATGTTATATTAAAATCAATATAAATGGGGAATTCAAAATTAAATTCAGGTTAGAGCAATGAATTTCATGTTATTTTTCTTTTTGTAATTGTTTAATTCATATATAAATTCACAGATATAAAAATTCAAACAATGAAATTTTCCTGAAAGCATTAATCAATATCATTAATCAATATAACCATCAAATGAATTACATTGATTTTTTAAAAATAAAAGGATTTGGATTTTAGTTGAAGCTTTCTTTTTCAGAGTTAATGGCAATCTTTTTCTGTCTCATATTTCACTAGTAACCTGCAGTTTATATTCCCCCGATAGTGAATAATTTGTTTACATTACATAAAGAAGGGAAATAGCTATCTTCAAAACAACACTCATATGATACATTTATTTTAAATGCTTGGGCAATCCCATTAGCTAAAAGAAACCAGACTCAGTTTAAATTAGCATGTAATTTAAGTATTCACAATGACAATGACTGTAGCCAACTTATAATTAAAGACATTTTACAAAAATTAGCTTTCCACAGAACTTGCTTGTCTCTTGTTCTGACAAGTTACATAGGTCATTCTTTAAATAACAATATTTTTGTAAAGCCTTCCAGATATATTTCCTTTCTTTTGATAGTGACAACTAAAGGAATACAAACATCACTGTTTCTTTGTAGAGTTGATAGTGTTGCAGGAACATGGTTTTTACAAACCTTGACCATATTTGCTTGTATTCTTTTGTAAAATGCTGTTGATCTTATTACCCAGAAGTGCAAACTTCAACTTCATGGTTCTATGAGCAGGCATTCCTTTTTATTTATGAGGAGCTTCAGACTGTAAAGCAGTACAGCTGGTGAGTACCATGCTTCAGCTTAGCTTTTTAATTGATGAAGCACAAGCAGTGGCTATGGTACTTTGAGGAAGTCTTGCACCACAGTTATTATAATTGCAGCCTATCATGGGAATTCTATTTTGTTTCTAAACCACTTACCATCTAAATTGGATCCTGGATGAAACAGTACAGGAACACCTGCCTCATACTTTGCTCTAAGCAGTGAACCCTCAGGATTAAGGGCAGCCCCCAGAGGCTCTCGAAAACACCGTTGAGACTGGATTTCTAACTGGAATTGGAAAAGATTAACGATCAGAAGGAATGATCATATCAATTTTATTTAAGTAGTGTAACTTTAAATAACGCTCACTTTTTGCAAAGGCTTCATCTCTTCCCCACAACCTCACTGTTATCTACTCAGGTGAAATGTATACTCTGCCTGATTGTTTCCCAGTTTTGTTTTTCGGTTGAAAAATCCATTGGGTATTTTCTTTTATGATTCCTTAGTGTGCTGAACCGAACCCCGGTGCATCTGGTCCATGAAATCCTATTAGTAGATGACTTCAGCGATGATCGTAAGTGAACTTGAAAACAAGAGGGGTTGAGAAGGAGGGAGAGAGGGAATTGTGTGCCTGCATGCACATGTATTGGTGCACAGTCTCAACCTTTGTGAGATTGAAAACTTGAGCCCGAAAAGGAGGAGATTTCCCCACGTATTATAATTTCCCATTTTCCTTGACATCATACTGGCCACATACTCTTTTCTATTCTGTGACTAGGAGTTAAGTGTGCACTGTCAAAGTTCTTAACACTCACTTTCTGACCTCTTGACTGTGTGAAAGTCTTTGAATGATGAACAGAAACAATCAAATAACATTGCATTCTGTTTGTGTCTCCAAAGCGGATGATTGCCGTTTGCTGATCAAGCTCCCCAAAGTGAAATGCCTGCGTAACAGTAGAAGAGAAGGTAAGCATTTGGGGGCCGAGCACCCCGAAGGAGCACAAAGAAAAGAGAAAGACAAAATCAAAGCTTAACAGTATAGGAAAAATAAAGTGCAAGGATACTCTTTTACAACTGAGATGCATACTTTTTATGCTTGTAGTCTTCTACTAAGGTGGAGCTTTCTATGGATGAAAAGCCAGTATCAATGAAAGAAGATGAGGCAATTATTTGGAACATATGTCATAGAGATCTTGTCATCTCTATGTCTGCCTGTGTGTCTTTGTGTATGTGCATGTAATTGTGTTCTCCAAATTATTTTCATACTTTAAAGCAGGGGTCTCCAACCCCTGCTCCATGGAGTGGCACCGGTCCGCAGCATGCCAGCAACTGACCCAGGCAATCAAGCAAAGTCCCATCCATGGGATGCAGGCAGCATGTGAAACCACACCTCCTCCGGTCCACAGAAAAACCTCCTTCCACGGAACCGGTCCATGGTTTGCTTTAAAGAACAAAATAAAGCAATCAATGCATTTTTCTTCAAAATGAAACTAATCTATTCAGTCAGGTTTCCTTCAGTAGATGTACCCAGTCCTGCAGCGTTCTATAATTTGTAATTAATGATACATTGGAAAATTGTAAACTCCATTACATTTTAGATCCCTTGTTTATTCATTGGTATTTTACTCTCTTTTTTTTTACTTATCTTTATTTCTTTTACATTCTTTGTCTAAAATGCCTAATTAAAAATGGCTACAGCATTGATGGGCTATTGAATTCAGGATCAGGGTGAACACTTAAAAGGACTTCACTTAAGCATATCATATATACTTTTCCACATTAACCTCTTTGACTGGTACTTTTTGCAAGGGCTAAGGTCTTTGCAAGAGACCTTTCCTGAACTGAGATAAGTGCATCATGTCATTCCTGTTTCTGACATGTGCATAAAGTAAGGTAGAATTTTAAGTGAATTAATACTTATTTGCCTGATACAAATTTGGCCAGTCCAAAAAATGTTGCCCATGGAGTTGAGATAAAGGTAGAAGGGATGTTTTTTTTAAAAAAAACAGTCACTCAGCTGAATGCCTGTTGTATCAAAATGACCCAATAGCTGTAATAACCTTTTAAAATGATTCATCACTGCTTAATAATTCACATTAATAAAGTAACAACAGTTATTCATAATCTCACACATTAAATTTTACTTGTGCATTTAAGTTTGCTTTTTTAAAACCATCCTAGAAGTTTGTTGAAGGGCAGTGTATAATTTTATCAAATAAGTAGTTCATGGTAAAGATGTGGGTGAAAGCAATGTGGAGAAACAATACTTGGCAAGGACAGAGCCCCTCTGCATTTTTCTTTTCATTAACATTCTTTGCAGCAACTGTGTCGGAGGTGGGAAGGTTGAGAAGACAAAAATGTGTCTTTTCTTGGCTTACAAGAACCACAGCTTAAAAGAATTAATTAAGGCTCTGCAAAAACCTTCTTCAGACAGCATGTTCCACTGTAGAATTCCATCTGCTGATCCTTCCCCTCTCTGGATTGGAGACATCACTCCATTCACCTGCACAAGGTGATTGTTCCCAGCTGGTAGCCTTCCTGTATACCTAAATTTTACCTCTACCTCTACCTGAAGGAAGACTGAGTGCAAAGTTGCTTTTCCAGATTAAATGTTAACAGGGTAACTTGGAAGGCACATGGCTCACCCACATGGCATGCATTTTGAGCCTCCTCCTCCTTCGCCTCTCCTCTATTTGTAGCTGAGTTTCCTGCCAACTTAGAAGTATATGGTGATCACCTCAAAGTGGCCATTTGTGCCCTAGGTTTATCATATTCCATTTAGGTTTGAAAGAACAAAATTCACTGGCCCTGACTTGCAAAGTAACCTACCATTTTGTAGGAGAAAATATTTTTACCACACATCCTGCTGCAAATGAACTTTGCACTTGAACTTTGCAGTGGCTCAAATCTAAGTCATTAGCTACAGCAGTATATGTAGTCCTCGACTTATAATCACAATTAAGCCCAAAATTTCTGTTGCTAAGTGAGACAGTTGTTAAATGAATTCTGCCCCATTTTTCTTGCCACAGTTGTTAAGTGAATCACTGCAGTTGTTAAGTTAGTAACACAATTGTTAAGTGAATCTGGCTTCCCCATTGACTTTGCTTGTCAGAAGGTTGCAAAAGGTGATCACATGATCCCCCTGGGATACTGCAACCCTCATAAATATGATTTATTTGCCAGGCATCTGTATTTGATCACTTGATCATGGGGATGCCACAATGGTTGTAAGTGTGAAAAATGATCATAAGTCACTTTTTTCAGTGCCGTTGTAGCTGTGAACAGTCACTAAATTAACTGTTGTAAGTCAAAAACTACCTGTATTTCTCAACCTCAGCAACTTTAAGATGTATCGACTTCTACTCTCAACATTGCTCAAGTAGCATTCATCTCCAGAATTGTGAAAAATACCATTTGACTATCCCAAAGGTGCTTTTTCATGAGGCAACTGGACTTTCTTTTTTCTCTTTGAAGGCATTTCGCTTCTCATCCAAGAAGCTTCTTCAGTTTCTTCAAAGAGAAAAAAAAAAGTCCAGTTGCCTCATGAAAAAGCATCTTTGGGACAACCATGACCTGGATGACTGAGAATCTCCATAGACATTTACCATTTGACTAGAATTTTGCTCAACTGACCTATTTGGTAAGGTAATCCAGCTACAATATTTAGTGGTTTGCATATTTCTTTTTTCTCATATGTGTATGGAGGCTCTTTGAGTAATTAACAATTCTGATTTTCTGCACTTCTGAACCATATAGGAAATCTGCCCAGAAACTCCTCAGTACAAATATTCATCTTCCACACACAAAGATAGTGAGGACTCCTTGTGTAGAGAGGCCACATAGGCTGCTAACAGCTTGTGAGAATTTTCAGCTCTTGTTATTACCCAGAAACCGCTTGAGAGCCAGACAACAATCAGAACTACTAATTGTACAAAAACAAGCTTTGCAGAATAGAAATTATTATATTAAAACTTACAATGAATTAAATAATCAATATATTTTCAGTTGTATAGGTACACTGGTTATTTACAGTATAAGGTTTATGGAGGCAATTTAACATCTTAAGTATCCAGTAAAGATACTTAAAAGATCTGCACAAAAAGATCTGGCCTGAATTGTAGTAATTATGAAGCTTCATGATAGCAGAAAGAATTCCATTTTGGTTAATAGCAGAGTGAGGCAATGACAGAAATCTCTGTGTATCAGGAAAGAATATGAAGAAGTACAAATCATTTAATGGCTGTATGTGACTGCCCATTTTAGTGGATCTGAAAGGAAAAATCTCAATTCCTTTTCAAATATAAATCATTTGATACCACTAAAAAGTTTCTGCTTGACCACCTAATTGGGTTGTTAAGAGAGTTTAAGGACAGATAAGGTGCATTGAACATAATACAGTTATTTGTCCCCAAAAGAAAGAAAGCACACTTCTGAAAATTGGTACTTTTTCAATTTGTGGGCCTTAGATACATGAAATGTGCAAGCCATGGATTTACTTCTGTTGTACTCTATAAAGAGAAGATAAGCTTTCAGAGGCTACCTGTGTCAAAGTTAGGGCCAGGGTACCTTTTATTTCTTGGGTGATAATCTGAATTATTATTCAGATTAATGAATTACTTTAGTAAAATAATAGTATAAAATAGTACTAATTTGATTTTATATCACTATCACTGATTTTTTTTGTCACTTTTTGGTTTGACTATTGTATATATGAGAATGTATTAGTTGATGATTTCAACCTAACATATGCATGTCATCTTGTACTGTATATTAGTGGAAAATAAAGCATAGCAATTGAGGTATTATTGCTGGTGGGGTATGCAAATCCCTCCCTTCCTCTATTCTTTCCAACCCAGAAACACAGAGAGAGATAAAAACAGAAAACTGAGCACTACTTTCCCTAAATCTGAAAATTGTATAGAGACTTCCCACTTGGACACCATGCTTGTATTCCTGGGCTCTCATAATTCCTTAGTGCAAGGATATCTCCCGGGCGTTTTCTCTCTGTCTGTCTGTCTGTCTGTCTGTCTGTCTGTCTGTCTGTCTGTCTGTCTGTCTCTCTCTCTCTCTCTCTCTCTCTCTCTCTCAAAAGCTGTAAATTAGAGGGAGCAGTATTATAGTAAAAGTCCCGCCTGTTTTCTGTGTATAAACATGCCTATTATGCCCAGAAAGCATTTACTCAGTATCCTTTCTCTGCTTTTTATTGAAAAGCATAATTGAACAATGGTGGAATGAGAAAGAATATTTTCCTTATAAAGGTAAAGGTTTCCCCTATCCAATTGTGTCTGGTTCTGGGAGGCAGTGCTCATCTGTGTTTCTTAGCCAAGGGAGTGTCCGAAAACACTTCTGTGATCATGTGGCCAGCATGACTATACACTGAGGCACATAAGCTCACTGTTACCTTCCCACTGAAGTTGTACCTATTTATCTACTCACATTTGCATGCTTTCAAACTGCTAGGTTGGCAGGAACTGGGGCAAGTAATGGGAGCTCATTCCATGACACAGCGCTCGGGTCTTGAACCCGGCCTGTCAGCTTTCCAGCTGAGAAGTTGGTGTCTTTAACCACTGAGCCATCATGCCAACCCCATTTTCTTTATGTTCTACTGTAAATGTCTTTTCCATCCCTCTTCCAACTTCTGAAATAAAAAAGGAGAAATAGCTATTTCCAATGTTCCATTGATTTTCCCTTTACTATTTCCTGTTTTATTAATTTACTACTGAAAATAGTTGTCAAGCAAGCATCCTTGAAACAAACAATAACATTTACAGTCATTTCTTTTAAAGAAGTAATTTATGATATTAGTTAAGGGAAACTTATTTGATACTGTAAGATTGTTTTAATTGATAAAGTAATCAGTTATATGCTCAAGAAGTAAATGAGTTTTAAAACTTTAATTTGTAGACTTTCTGGATTTTCATAGAATATTTATTACCTTGCCTACCTGGAATTTCTTTTAATACTTCTGGAAATTCAACATTGTTCATTAAATTATTATTTTGCAGGTTGGTATATTCTAAAAATCAACAATTAGCAATACCAAATTTTGTCAATCTAGTTTCTAAAACAAACCCAGTGCTGTCACTTAAAGATCACTTGATGAATCACTTACAGTAACTCCCTTTTTACAACCCTGTAAATCCCTTAATTCGTTAACCCTCAAGTTAAGCAGTTCCTCCAGGCCAGCCTTCCTGAAGTTGATACCATCCAAATGTATTAACTTACATTCTGATTATCTTCAGAATGTTTCTGAATTATTATTTTAGCTGTGAAACCAATTAATTCAAGGAAACCAAAAATTGTTCTGTGTCATTTGTAGTCTTTAATTTCCATGACCTTTCTTAACTCTTCTTGTACTGTTCACATCCTTTCTTATTTTTCCCACCTTTTCTCTATTAAAAGATACCAACACACAGTAATTAACCTCAGGTTTACTTTACTCAAGAGTAAGGAGAGAATTTGGTGGATTGTTCTTCCCTTCAAGTTCATTTAAAGCTATGGTGAAATTTGTGTTGCAACTCCTTGTTTTCCTACAAAAGTTCTATTTTTGTCCTTGTTCTTGGAATGCCTGAGTATTTTAAAAATCTGTTATGATGGTGCCTTCAAGCTTATTTCATTGTTTAAGGCAATGCAATTTACTGCTGCTGCATGGGCACCCATGGGAGAAGATCAAAATCTGCAAGTGGCAGATTTTCAAGAAGCTGATACCTGTGACTTAGCCTAACACATATCACAAGACCATGGTTTATTTAACTCTTGTTTACTTGTACACCACAATTGGTTAAGTTTATATAACATGCAAAACTAAACCAACCATGTTTTAGCAAAAAGAAAAAGTTCAGTATATGACTTCCCTTAAAGCTTCAACCTTGATGCCTCTGGATGTGTTGGGATTAAAATTTCCTGAATTCCCAGTCAGCATGAAAATTTTAATTCAAGCACATGAATGAATGGATTATTAAGTGATTATTAAGTTCTAACAAGTCAAAGGATGGCATTCATGATTCTTTGGGATTCTAAAATTTTAAAATATATTTAATTAAATTGCATTTTAAAGATTTAAGATGTATATTGCTACAGTAGGGTCGAGACTATTACCGGTAACATACAGTAACATCTGTACTTCATTCCTCCCCAAACTACAGTTTAAATTGATATATTTTAACCTTGGTTTACAAGACAAAAAAATAAAAGTGTTTACTAAGAGAATCAAGTTTTATCTTAAAGATAAGCACCAATGTGTCGCAGCTGCCAGAAAAGCCAACACAGTGATAGGGTGCATTAAGAGAGGGCTAGAATCAAGATGACATGAAGTTAGNTATAATGTAACACTCCACTAGGAATATTGCATCCAGTTTGGTTACCATGATATAAAAAAGATGTTGAGACTCTAGAAAGAGTGCAGAGAAGAGCAACAAAGATGATTAGGGTACTGGAAGCTATGAAGAACAGTTGCAGGAATTGGGTACGTGTAGGGTAATGAAAAAAAGGACTAGGGGTGACATGATAGCAGTGTTCCAGTATCTCAGGGGTTGCCACAAAGAGGGAGTCAAGCTATTTTCCAAAGCACTTGAAGGCAGGACAAGAAGCAATGGATGGAAACTAATCAAGGCAAGATCAAATCTAGAATTAAGGAGAAATTTCTGACAGTTAGAACAATTAATCAGTGGAATGACTCTCCTCCAGAACTTGTGGTGCTCCAACACTGAAGGTTTTTAAGAAGAGATTGGATTTTGTGTCATATTCTAGTTTAAGTATGCTGTTGTAAAAGTGTGCTGAAATGTGATTTCTAGCCCATTGTCTTATTCCCTCCCCTCCAGTACCCGCTATATAAATTAATCCACAGAAAACAATGCAATATGATTTCTCATACTTTCTTTCAAACTCAGAAGAAATAACCTCTAGCCTTAAGCACACTTAGTAAGCGGTGCACTAGCATTCCTTAACTTAAGACTCTCCCAGAAGCCCAGGACTGCATTCTTAATAGAAGTAGAGAATATCACAATTGACAAATGACTAGACTTAGTTCCAGATAAAATGCTTAGAACTGTAAGCAAGGACTTTGTTGCTTTCTGATAGTCTTCATATTGATGCAGCCATTCATGGACTAGAAGGTCTGGTGCCTCTAGGGTTTTGAGTTCTTGGCAGAAGGTTCTGGACTATTGACTGATTCTGGCTCAGATCCTATTTCAAGACTTGACTTATCTGGCTTTGTAAATTCCTTTAATTCCCTCTGTAGAATCCATAACATTTTCTCCATGTTACCCCAGAATGGTAGGTTGTATTGAAACAGAGATCAATCACAGAACAAGTCAGGGAGCCAATCTATGCAGTGAATAAGCCTCAATATGGATGTTGTTATCCAGATGATGCTTGCATCATGTGAACGCACCCAAAGTGATATTATTTAAATTGGATGAAAAACAGGATTTACAAAAATCAATTCAGGTCATGGTGGGAAAGCAATAGTTAGTTCCATTTCCCAAAAGCTATTATCTATATGCTTGCCCTTTGAGGTAGTCCAGACAAGTCATACAAGTACTTTATTGAAAAGTTACGTTGGAAGGTCTCCTCTTTTTCTTTTACTCATCAGAAAACTAATGTTTTCCACCCCATCTCTCTTTCTGTGGGCTGAGATATCATTTGCTTACCAATTGTCCATTCTGTGGCTCTCTCTCCTGTCCCCCAAGATCATTCATGCATACCATTACCCATAAAGGAATCAATATTAATCAAGATTGTATTATAGAATAGAATGTGTGGTCACTTCACTTAAATCTGGACTACCTCAAACCAAGAGTGTATGCTTGCCTAATACAATTAAATTCATGTCTGATCTGGGCCTATTACACTTTAACTTTTGATGGCTGTATTTATACAAGTGAGATTCTAACTTCTCATTAACAGAACTCAATTCCTATGCTATGAATGATGTCACAACATTCATATTATGGCTTATTTTGATGGCTTTGTTCCCACAACTTGCTATGACAATGACCACTTAATCGTTTGCTGTGTGGATCCAACTAAGAAATATATTCTAGGTTTAATTTTGTTAAGAAAACAGGAGAATTGGGAGTAAGCAAATCCATATGGAGAGATCCAAGGTATAAAATGAAAGATTTGCTTTGTAAAGCATGTCATTTCCTGTACCATTTCTTTAATTAAACAAACCACCTGAGGACCATGGAAGCAACTTCCTTGGAATTTTTTTTAGCCACTGAAAATCTACAATTGCATAATGAGACTATTAGGCCCAAGTAAAGCTTTGCGGTTTTCAAAGTTACAAACTGAAAACAGTATGAATATGTAAACAAAACAGGTGTTCTGTGTGCTTCATACATTTTATTAGGATTGTCTTGGGATACACAGGGCAAGCTATTGTATATAGACAGGCAGCAAAACCCACACTCATGATACTACATGGTTGAGTAATGAAATGTCTTCAAGCAAACCACCAAACTCAGAGAGCACCAAGGACTCAACTTTGGACTACAGACATTCTTTTCTATTGAAACAAATATTGCAAAATCAAGTGATTTAAATAAAATTGCCATTCATTATAAAAAGGATATTATGATAGCATAGTAACACCCATCAAACTTAAGAATAAAAAAGAAGCCTTTTATCTTATCCCTATTGATTATAATTTGTCCTCAATTTATTACTCATGTAATATTATAATTTCTCCATCATCCCCAATTATTGATTTATTAATTAATCTTGTTGTCCTGTTGTCCTGTTCTTCCAATGACTGCCATATTAGAATTGTTGCAAAAGAGAAATTTAGCTCTCCATTAATGAAGAATAGAAAATGCATTAGAAAATTCCTGTAATTGAGGGAAGTGATTGCCAGCTGAGAATTGTATTTGTCATTTGTTTCTGCAATGCAAATTGTATTTGCTGTTTGTTTTTGAAGCAATTTGCCTTTGCAGAATAATTTACAGGAAGCTGTAGTTAGGGAAGTGATCCCATCCCTATTAAGAAATATTTATATGTTTATCCTTAGTTTTTTCTTAAGAAACTCTGAAAACATTTTTAAACTGTATTTTAGGCAAAAAGGGGTCTGTTCTAGTTATGATACAACCTTATTCTTCAGAGCCAGTATTTTGACATCTTGTCTTCTCTTTGCAGAGGCAATGAAAAGAATTATATAAATGCAGAATGTTTTAATGAACATAATTTTTTCCCAAGACAAACTTTTTGCTTGGACTACTGACTTTGCAATGCAGAAAAGAAACTGTGCTGAAGCATCTTAAACAATGGCATGCTTCTTTTTAAGTCCATAATGGTAGCATGGCATGAGCTGATTAGGCAAGGCTAAGAATGAATAAGCTGAGGATTGTGTGTGCTTGTTTAGCAACTGAAGTCTTGCTTAGAAATTTGCATCAGCCAGACCTATGTTTGAGTTCATGTCCGCTGTTACAGGTTTGATCCGTTCCCGCATTCGAGGAGCAGATGTGGCCCAGGCAGGGGTTCTTACCTTTCTAGACAGTCACTGTGAGGTGAACAAGGATTGGCTGCTTCCTCTTTTGCAGAGGATCAAAGAGGTAAGTGAGCCACTCAGTAGCATTGTCTCTGATCAGAGATAATAGCATGTATCAGCATGGCTCGTGTAAGCCTTTAATTAGGGAAGTTCCTGGCAAAATCCATGGAAAGATATTTATTTATTTTATTTTATTTATTAAATTTATATACCGCCCTATCTCCCTTACGGGACTCAGGGCGGTGAACAGGCGATACTAAAAACCACAATAATAAATAAATAGTTTCTGTTCTAAAATCAAATTAAATAACAGGCCTGTTCTAAAAACACCCCATACAAAACCCCCCACTAAAACATAATCAAACTATGCCAGGCCGGCTGTACGGAATAGATGGGCCTTCAGGGCTCGGCGAAAAAGGCGCAGGTCCGCAACTGTACGTAGGTCGGGGGGTAGGTCATTCCAGAGGGCAGGAGCTGCCACAGAGAAGGCTCTCCCCCTGGGGGTTGCCAGCCGGCATTGTCTGGCCGACGGCACTCTAAGGAGGCCCATCAAGCCATCTTTCACCAGAAATAACATCACTATTACAAATGTAATGCCAATTCAGACTAGCTCAATACTGTTCTCTAACTGGCAGCAGGCCTCTGGCTTTTAGCAAAAAAAAAAAAAAAATCCCATTGTTTGCTATCTTGCCTGTTTATGTGGAAATAGCAGAGATTTTCTTTCTCAACATGTATTTCTCTAATGAGCTATCGAGTTTCCCCTGAAGAATGCTGACCACTGGACCAAAGATAAAATCAGGTCCCAAATCAGCCATTTGTCTGAATATAAACCAGACCAGGCTGCCATTCAATTTCAGATACAAAAGACACCAAATAGGTACTAAACCCCAAAATTGTTGTGTTAGAGCAGGGGTAGTCAACCTTGGCTCTTTTATGACTCGTGGACTTCAACTCCCAGAATTCCTGAGCCAGCTGTGCTGGCTCAGGAATTCTGGGAGTTGAAGTCCACGAGTCATAAAAGAGCCAAGGTTGACTACCCCTGTGTTAGAGTATGGGATGCGGAACATTTTTTATCCTCAATACATCTTGAAATTTGTGGTGGGGTTTTTTTTCCAAAGGTTGAGATAATTACAGTTATAAATAACAGCTCAGCCTCTTCATCCTAGTGGCCAGAAAACTTTTCATTGTTGTATTTCTGAACTCATAGAAATATAGGTCCTCAAATGTGCTTCAAAAGGACAATTGAACCAGCTGGTCCTGACTGCAGGAACACAAGTGTTTTGGCATAATAGGGCCAGAAGTGGAAGATAGTTTTGCCAAGTGAGCAAAGAATGGTTCCTTAGGAATGCAAATTAAGTTAACAGAGCCCAAAGGCTCTTGTCAGACCTGCTGAATGTTACAAGGGGAAATAGGTGGGCATGGCTCCAGTCAAGTTTTTAATTAGGTCTATGATGATTTCCCAGTGCTGAATGGTTTAAGGGAGTGATGGTTCTTTGAATAAGGACTGAATTTAATTTCATGCAAATTAAGCTTTAATAAATTGATTTAATGGAAATTAAACCCTGCTGACAAAAGCATTTTTTTTCCAGTAAAACATTATTAAACCAATGTTACTGAGTGGGATGCTCTTTTCTCTGTCATCTCTTCTATATAGAGAAGGACTCTGTGATATTTGTCTTCAACCAGGAGACAAGTATCCATATACCATCAAAATAACCTCAATAATATTACCTTCCTATCTTTCAGCAAGTCTGTTAGGGATCCTTAGGTACTTCTAATTTAATTTGCATTCCCAAGGGACAGACCCTCCTTTGCACACTTCACATTTAGTCAGCTTTCTAATCTACTGCCATCTTTCTAGGGTTGATCTTAAGCTTGTTTTTGCTCATCCGCACACCAGGTCAAACCTTCACTGTATCTCCTGAGTACCATTCACTTTTGGTGCTAGCTCACCTTGTGCTGATGAATGACTTTTTGTAGATGATAAACTGAAGGGAGAAACAGTTCATGCATGCCAGAATGCCCGAGGACACAGCCTCTCTACTATCTAGGGCCCTGAGGACATAGCCTCTCTAGTCTAGGTCTATTCACTGAAGAGGGAAGAGAACCATTGCAAAACAGTGCCTCCCACCATCTGGCCTTGCAGCAGCCTCAGAAAGAAACTATGGTTGGTGGTATTGAAGGAGGCTGAGAGATACAATAGAATCAGGGGAGGCGAATTCTCCACCCCAGTCTCACCAGCGATGATCAACATAAGCGACCAATGATTATCCCATACCCAGGTCTGAATCCCATCTGAAAGGATACAGACAATCTGTTTCATCCAGGGTTTTCTGGAACTGCAGCCCTATCATTTTCTTAATCTTCTATGTGAAGGAAAGATTGGTAGCTAGTAAATAATAGTCCAAGATAGTGATATTTTCTTGAGGAGAGGATATATCATTGCTTTTTCCAAGGCAGAGATAAAGAGCCTATTATTCAAAGATGATTTCACCTCTGCCCAGATTCAGCCTTCCATCACTTCCCTGGCAGCTTTCACTAGCAAGATAGGGCAGGGGATATGGTTTATGTGTGACAAGGTTGTTAGCATGAAGCATTTCCTCTGGATCCACAGACTCAAACCAATCCCATATAACCTCACAAGATGAGGCTTCTTTCACCTCAGCTGGATTTGGCCAGCTGGTGTCAAGCTCCAAACAAATGTGAGAAATGTTATCGAATTATTTGTAGTGGCCAGCAGCCCCTCTTCCAGCTTGATTTAGCGAACGTTAAACTATGCTACTGGGCAGCTATCTACAGAGGCAATCAAAGCAAACACTCCACAGATCTTACCACCATAGTATAAGCTTAAATGTGAGATTTTATTCATGTCAGATCACATTCATTCTTTATTTTATGCCTTCATTGCTCCAGACATCTGTTCTGCTGCTACTTCTCCCAGAACTCCCAGTTGATGGGAAAGGGGCTGAGAGAATTGAGAGTGAGAGACACCTGACAGAAGGAAAACACTTTCACTTATGCTCTCTTAATACCACCCGGTTCCAATGTGTTCTGTAGAAATTCAGTCATTTTGCTGGCAAATTTCAGTAGTATGATCTTCACATGCTGGGGGAAAGTGGCTTCATGGTGTGAATAGTATGGCTCTATTTTAAAACAAGAGAAGAGTTTAATTTTCTTCTTTCTGTGTTTTCTCTTTCTTTCATCCTCATTGGTCCTCTTTTTCTTCATCTCTCTCTGTCTCTGAGTGATGATGGTGCCTTTTTGTATGAGATGTTTGATGAGATACAGCCAGCAGGACGGCAGTTCTAGCACTGGGGAATGTAGTTCAGGCTCACAGCTGTTATAGATGAATGCTGATACCATATGCAGCAATGCCACAGAAAATTCATTATAAGACTGAAACAGTAACATCTGAATGAAACAGAAAAACAAAATGTCAGTTCTATTAACTTCTCATACTTGCAATTTCTCTTTCACTATTTTTCTTTTCACTATTTTTTTTTAAAGAAATAATCTAAATTAAAGTTTGAAATAGAGTGTTTGCTTTTGCTTTTAGCAGCATTAATGTGAAATCTGCTTCTGGAATTAATGGCTCTCAAATGATGGACCCAGAATAGGGGGGGTTTGAGATTTTTTTTATCCCACCTTTATTATTTTTATAAATAACTCAAGGTGGCAAACATACTCCTTCTTCCTCCTATTTTTCCCACAACCACCACCACCCTGTGAAGTGAATTTGGCTGAGAGAGAGTGATTGGCCAAAGTGACCAAAATGGCTTTAATGCCTAAAGTAATGCTAGAATTCCTAGTCTCCTGGTTTCCAGCCCAGTGTCTTAAGTCTAAGAGCTTGGGACAGACAATCCCCAGGATCCCTTCCGGAGCAACAGGACCATCAAAATGAGTGTCAGGAACTGAAGCAAGGCGTTTTAGAAATCAGACAGCTTAATGTATTTTTATTAATATAAATAGCAGAGCTATGTTGCTTGGCTGTGTCAGAATGGCAGAACATTTACTAAATCATAATACTATGATTAATTGGTATTCTTTTTCTTTGTTTTATTTCATATTGATTTTGTAAGTTGCCCTGAAAGCTCTGATGAAGGCTGGTATATACAGTATATGTTCTCCCCAAAAGAAAGAAACAAATAGCAATTATTAGGATATCAGATGAAACATATTAGTCTTTAGTATCAACAGAGTCATTAATATTCTGTTATACAACATTGTTTGCAAGCCTTCTGCAAAAATTTCCCATTGTTGTTTAATATCTATATGATATTGATTTGGGATGTGTTATCAACACAATTCCTTCTGAATTAGAGTAGACTGTGCAGCTGTTGAACAGGAACAGGATAGGTTGGAAGAAGGCCAGTAAACTGAGGGACTGATAAACAAAAGCATTGGGTAGTGTCATAGTGAATAGATGGCTGCGGTTTCTGGAATTGAGAAGGTGACCTGTTCTGGATAAGACTATTAACCCCAAATAATAGATATACAAACCGAGGGGTCTATTTGATTCAGTGCAGTCACTAAAGGCGTAAGTTGCTTCAGTGGTAAGAAATATGTTCATCCTTGATTGGCGGGAGCAGTCTGGCTTCACTAATCTATTCCATAATAATCTTACAATGATATTCCTTAATGCATTCTGCCTGGGGCTGTCCTTGAAGTCAATCCAGAACCTGCACTGGTTGCTTGTAAGCTACCAGATATCATTAAATAAATTATTACTTATTATAAAGCTCTGCATCGTGAAGAATTCAGATACACAAAACTAGCAGTTTCTCCAGTACTGGTTAAATATTGTTTATGATCTACTATCAGGACTTCCTTGAGATCCCACCAACAGTAACAGCCTGTGGTATGGAGAAAAAGAAAAGAATTCTTGATAGTAACATCTTAGCTGCAGAATCCTTTTTCCTGGTAAACTAGCACTTTATAGTTTTTCCCTGTAATTTAATTGTTTTTAAAATGAACTGAAATGTTTTTAGTGAGCATTTGTAGTGTTGTATTTCCTTTCTAGTTTTTAGTTTACTCATATTTTTATGAGCAATGTTTTTAGTTCTG